CCGCGCAGCAGCCGGGATCCGCCCGCCCGCGCGCCCCGCCGGGACAGCACGGCGGTCGCGGCGCTACCGCGGCTGGCTCTCCCGAGCCAAACTTAAGAGTTTTCGCCCCTCAGTCCAGGGGCAACACCATGACACCACGGCAGCACCACACTGTCATTTCCGCCGCCGCAGAGGGGAAAAAAAAGGCAATCTCTACGAAAAGGGGGGTGGAGTGAGGTGAGGGCAAGCAGGGCTGGGGCTGACGCCCCCAGGGAGCACGGAGAAGGGCCCCGGCAGCAGGGGCGCTTGGCCACCTTCCCGGCTCACCTTCCGCCGCCCCCGCCGCTCCCAGCTCCCCCAGCCCCTCCTCTGGAGGCGCGTTTACATGTTTTCTCCCCTGGCAGGAGTGACCGGAGAAACCTGAGCAAGCAAAGGCAGCGGGTGGGTGGGGTTCGGGTTACTACTGTACCTACCAGCTGATTCCAGCAGCCTTTTCTCCAGCGCCCTGTCATCTTGAAGGAAGACACACCGAGAGGGGCCCGAAAGGGCGTGTGTGTGCCTGTGTGTGTGAGAGAGAGAGACAGAGCGCAGAATGTGTGTGAAATGCAGAAAGAAGACTATGGCCAAACTCTTCTCCCACCTGCCAACCCCTGGTCCCACAAACCCCCAAGTTAGAGCAACGAAAAGGCCTTTGCAACTGGCTATGAGAAGAGAGTGTCTAGGTCCACCGCGCAGGTCCTCTGATGAAGCTGCTCTATGCAAAGTTAACTACAGAGTAAAACAAAAATAGTGGAGGAGACAGAAAAGGGCAGACAATTGAAGGAAACCCAACCCCTCTTTCTTTTTACAAAGGGAGAATGGCAGTGTTTTATTGGCCTTGGGCAGAAGTTGTGGGGATGGATTAAAGCCACCAAAATCTTAAAAAACAAACAAACAAAAAACCTGTACAAAGTACACCAAGTGCACATTCAAATCCTTGATAGGCAAAATAAGAGGGTGGTTACTAAGAGGACAATGGGCCAGATGCCAGCTCTCCAGGTATTCAACCTCCCTAATAAGCTAATTGGTCCATCTGGAACCCAGAAGCGCTCATTGGTCTGGAGTCAGCCTGTCGACTGACATGTCATTGGCTCAGAAACCACTACCCCACTGACAAGGAGGACGGGAGAGGGAAGGAGGAGGAGGCCCCAGAGGAGAGTCCCTACCTAACATGGGGTAAAAGGAGAACAAAGTGAGAAAATGGGAGGAAACACACTCACCCCCCCGCCCCCCCAGGCCTCCCATTACTGTGCATGGGAAAGAGTCCAGAAAAATTAAGGTAGCTCTGGGTGTATCCCATCAGGGAACCAATAGTAATTAGCCAACACCCCGTTAAACAATCTGTTAGAGAGCACTGAGGTAGAAACGAAGGCAAAAATCCAAACCAGCCTATCCTGATGAAAGTCTGGCCATAAGAGAAGTAAAATTTGAGTCACACCAAAAGCACAGGCAACAAAAGCAAAAATAGACAAGTGGAACTACATCAAACTAAAAACTTATGCGCAGCAAGAGAGTCAACAGTGAAAAGGCAAGAATGGAGAGAAAATATTTGCAAACCGTATATCTGATAAGGGGCTAATATCCAGAATATATAAAGAACTCTTACAACTCAATAACAAAGCAAGTAACCCAGTTAAAAAACAGGCAAAGAACTTGAATAGACATTTTTTTCTAAAGAAGATAGACAAATGGCCAATAAGCATTTGAAAAAATGCTCAACACCACTAATCATCAGGGAAATGCAAATCAAAACCACAATGAGATATTGCCTCACACCCATTAAGATGGCCATTATTTAAAAAAAAAAGAAATTAATGAGTGTTGGCAAGGATGTAGAGACATTGGGATCCTTGTACACTGTTGATGAGAATGTAAAATGGTGCGACTGATGTGGAAAACAGTATGGAGGTTCCTCAAAAAATTAAAAATAAAACTACCATATGATTCAGCAATCTCACTTCTGGAAATATATCCGAAAGAATTGAAAGCAGAATCTCAAAAAGATATTTGCATCCCCATGTTCATTGCAGCATTTAGAAGCAACCTAAATGTCCATTGACGGATGAATGGATAAAGAAAATGTGGCCTATACATACAGTAGAATGTGGCACATACGTTCAGCCTTAAAAAAGAAGGAGATCCTGCCATATGCTACGACATGGCTGAACCTTGAGGATAGCACGCTAAGTGAAATAAGCCAGTTACAGAAGGACAAATACTGCATGATTCCACTTATATGAGGTATCTTAAGTAGTCAAACTTGTGGAAACATAAAGTAGAATGATGTTTGCCAGGGGCTGGGGGGGAGGGGCTGGGGGTCAGTTCTGTAAGTGTTGAGTTTCAGTCATGCAGAACTGGGGTGGGGGAGCTCTGGGGTATCTGATGTGCAACAATGTGTATGTGGTTGACAGTATTGTACTGTACACTTAGAAATTGTTGGGAGGGTGAATTTTATGTTATGTGTTTTTTGCCACAATAAAAAATTAATGTTTTAGAAAGTTAATGAGTCAGAAGTAAACTGATCCTAATATGAGAGGAGTGGATAAATAAAAATTATATATAGACACATTTTTATATCTGATATATGTATATATCAGAATTGTTAAATGAAAAAAGCAAACTGTGTATGGTTTGCTATTACTGTGTTAAAAAGAAGGGAAGAGTATATATCCACATGTGCTTGTATATGCATAGACTCTTCAGTCAAGATACCTAAGAAACTGATTACACTGGTTGCCTGGGGGTCAAGCATAGGAGGGAGAAGTATTTAACATTGTATATGCCCTTTTGTATTGTTTGAATTTTTTATAAGGCCCGTGTGTTACCTTTTCAAAAACAATTTTAAAAGGAGGAGGAGCATGGAGACAGAAAATAGAATAGAGGTTACCACCAACGGAGGGGAGGGGAGAATGGGGAGTTATTGTTTAATGGTTACAAAGTTTCTGTTTGGAAGGATGAAAAAGTTCTGGAAATAGTGGTGAGGGTTACACAGCATTGTGAATGTACTGAGTGCCACTGAATTGTACACTCAAAAATGGTTCAAATGGTAAATTTTGTGTTATGTATATTTACCACAATAAAACAAATAAAAAATTAGAAGAAAGAAGAAGGTATACAGAATGAGAAGAGATTATTGTATTTGTGTAAGAAAATAGATATATGTGTATGCCAGTAAATGCATAGAAAAGAACCTGGGAGCACACTGTAAATAGTGTGAGCCTAGAATTTCGGTGCGTATTGAGATCTTTCAGGTTTGATTCTATATAACTGTTTGAATATTCTAAAATGAGAATTTCTTTTGTAGCTAAAAAATAAAAATTAAAGTATGTCTCAAAGAAACCCAGAGTTGAGTCAGAAGTCAATTGATCCCTGAGAATTCTTAACCTCACTTGATATGATCCCCACAGAGAGCTGGAGAATTTTCTAAAATGTGAAGTGACCACTTTCATCTCGGACACACCTGAACCAAGCTAGCTAGCTCTTGGCAGAACTGGCACTTGGAGGAGATATGCTGTTAATGGCCTTTATCATCCTTTAGAAACCACCCTTTTCTTCACTTTTTAGCAGTTTCCACTTCACCTGAGCTTCCAGTGCTTTCAAGCTAGTTCCTGGTTTACCAGAGCACTATACAGAGTGCTCAAACCCCATCTTCCCTCCCCAGGCAGCAGCCCATATTCTGGACCTTTCCTTTCCCTCCTCAAAACTTAACCGCTTCTGGGTTCCTTTCACAAAGAACCTTACTGATTAAGGATTTCAATCAGCTAATTCGAGCTAAATGTTAATAGCTTCATTTGTCTCTCTATTAGTAGATAATATTTTAATTTTAACAGAGGCCTTCAATGTATTAACTCAAAGGAATGACTAATAGTGTGTGTGGGTGGGGATGGGGGGTGGGGAGATTTTGCTAATCACATCACATTAGCGGCTGCTTTGAAAATATCCCCACTTTCAGTGGTTTTATGCAAATTATCGCTGTAAATGTTTTATATCTGGCAGGAGATGCAAAATCGGCTGGGAGTATGTGATGAAATTATTTGTTTATAATTATTTAATGGTTACCTTTGTATATAACATGCGTTGATCCTATTAAAATAAATCGGGCCCATGGGAAAAAAAAAAAAGACATTTGACAGATTCAACTTGAGGTGTTTAATTGAATTAATCTGAGGCAGACTCACCACACCACAGTCTCAGAGTATGAAAGGGACAGCTCATGGGCACTTTTTTCCATCTAAGAATGGGGGGACAGGGGGAACGGCTCCAGATACTTTCTACAGAGAGACGCACAGAGCCCAGTCTGTTTCAGAAGGAAAAATGACAGAAGGGAGATTTTGTTGCACTGCAGAATTGTTGCTTCTGCAGAAGGAAACCTTCATACTGCTCTCGAAAGAAGAAACTAGTTGTCTGAAATCCAGAGGTTGACCTAAGGCTTTTCTAAGCGGGGGGGCTCTTAACAGGATGGTGAGAAGAAAAGTACTTTTGGCACGGGCTCATCAATAGGACATTGTTCTAAAACTAGTTGTGAACAGGCCATGTCAGCTGCTTAAGAGAGTGGTTCAAAATAAATATGTTCCCAGTGTGGAGAAATGCCATGCTCCTGGTACTTTTTGCTCTCCTTTGATCTATATTTTGGTATTGCTTTTATTAATTTTGTAATTTATCTGAATTGTTGTGTTTGTTACAATAAACACGTATTTTTGATATCTATATTACATTCATAAATATTTTCCTGGAGTTTTGATTATCTTCAGGCCCAAGCCTAAATTTTCCTGTTGGCTATGCCTTCCTAACCAGCACCCTAGGTCACTTAGAGTCTGGCTTCTGTGAAGCCATATCCTCCTGGTTTCTCTCCCATCTCACTGCCGGTTTCTCAGACTCTGTTGTTTCCTCTTCCTGCTCTTCTACCTCCCAAGTAGGAGTGTCCAGGCTCAGTCCTTGGCTTACTTCTCCATCTACACTCACTCCCTAGGTGACCTCCTCTAGTCCCATGGTTTTAAGTACGATCTCCATTTTTATTTCTCCAGCTCAGACCTCTCACATGAGTCTAGACTTGCGTATCCACCTCACTATTTGACATCTCCACCTGGCTGCCTCACAGATAGTGCTAACATAATGTGACTGAAAGAAAACTCTTGGTTTCTACTCCTCCCCATCTCAGTAAATGGCACCACCCAACTGCTTAAACCACACACTGGATGTCATCCTTGACACCTTCCTCTCCCCAATATCCTACGTTCAATTCATCATCAAGTCTTAGTTTGGTCTCCCCACTTCCACTTTTGCCCCCTTGCAATCAGTACTGCAGCCAGAGTGATCTTTTCAAAATGGAAATCTGATCATTTTACTCCTTCCTCTCAATGCCATTAGAGTAAAATTCAAGTTACTTAACGTGTTCTGTAAGACTTGGCATTCTGACACCCTTTGAACCACCAGTTCTTGGCAACCCCAGATACTTTGCATGTTCTCTTCCCTCTGCAAGAGTGTTCTTCCTTCCACTCTTCACATGGCTGTCTAGCTCCTTCTCCCAGGTTACACATCACCTACTCACAGGAGCCTTCCCTAACTACCCTATCTAAAGTAACCCCTTCATATCAGTCTCTAATACAACACTCTATTCATTTCCTTCAGGGCACTTATCACTAACTAAAATTACCTTATGAGTTTATTATATGTCCCCCCCATGCACACACACATTAGCATATACATTTCCTGAAAGCAAGAACT